TTCTTCATGTGATTCCTCAACGGAAGTTAAGACTAAAGATGATGTTGGGATTTTCTGCTCAAAGCATTCGAAATGTAAAGAATTTTGGTCGCAATCTATCACTCCTTCTTCAAATATTCCATCAAAAGGGAAGATTGAAGTATATGCTAAGCGTACGCTAACATTTTTCAAGAACAAAGTCTTTCATCAAAAAAAATTTGGCGCTCGGCGCAGCGTCATGACGGGAGTTTGGTAAAAGAAAACTTCTCACAAGTAATGTGACAGAAAGAAGCCGATGTCAGACATCGTACGCCTTCGTTATTTTCTCTCCTTTCAGTGCATTAAATAATTCATGGCTCTGCTTTATAAAGTTTTCGTATTCCTTTACAATTGTGTCTTTGTTTGGCTTACACCCAGCTGAGAGAACTGAAGAAATTTGATTTCCTATAGAAATTTGATTTCCTCCAAAATCACAGTTTTGAACGTTCAGTCAAAAAGCTCATTTGGTTCAGGGCCGGATATGAGATGTTCGCCTTTCAGCCGGCGCTTAAGCAAACAAAACAGAAAAGAAAGGTGAAAAGTGTCTCTTATTTGTAGGACAATAGCTGGCTTCATAAAGCACATAAAGCCGATTTCGTATTTGTGCTACCTTCGTGGGAAGGGATCCGGTGCTATTGAAGATTTAAACCCGCAGGGGGTCTATATAAGGACGATATTTACCGGTTGAAATGAGATGAACTTGGATTATGAAGAATTTATAAGCTACCACAAGAAAAAATGAATTTTTACCAGTTCTTCTTGAGCGAGAAACGGAAAACATTTTACGGTTGATTTAAAGATACCATGTTGTACAATTTACTTTCAATGAAGTTAATCTGCATAATGAGTTAACTCCACTGAGTAAATAGTCAGTGATTAAAGTGGAAACATACACTCAGTTCACCTGCTCCATTCATATCGTAACCGACAATTATTCAGTCTCAAACTTTCTTTATCGCTCGAGTGATATTGCGCACGAGGTTTCAAGAAGCGCTTGAAGTGTTTAAATCAGATCGTATTTTAGATTTGACTGTCGAAACAGACGGAAAGTTCAATTTTTTTATGTCATCGGGAAAAAAATCGACTCTCCTAGCTCGCAATGAATAAAAAAAAAGTAGGAATTTTTTTGGGGAGATATTGCATGCTCTATCCAAAATTACACAGAGTACATGGTCTAAAAGACGCTAAGATATTTATCGCACTCCTTCTTTTGTTAAAGAAGAAAACTTTGATCAGAAACAAAATTCTCTTCACCTCGTTTTATAAATTTCTTTTGGGGGAAATTTTTCTTTGAAAGCCCTTTCCTTTCTCGGGTTTAGAAAAGCTTTCTCGAACTTCGTCCGTTAGGGCCCGGTTCAGAGATCTTTCAGGTTTCTTGTCTTAAACAATTCTGCAAGGTGGTTAAGTCACTAAAATTCGTTGCAAAAATTCAGATAAATCGAACAAAAAACTACTCACTGCTGAAGCAAGAAGATATTTGCGGGTTAAAACTTCCTCTTTGCGCAAAATGTCACCACAAGACGTTGTTGGATAAACACCAGGACAGTTGCTCAGAATCAACGAGATAAAACCAACACTAAAAATCAATAATTTTGAAAGCAACTTCCTTGTCTTTCCGACTTCTCCGGAGTACATTTCAAACAGTCACTTTCCTATGATATGTTAAGATTTAATGTGAATTTGTCTTTTGAACACTAGAATCTTCATGCTTCCGGACTCTTATATTCTGCGTTTTTAGAGCATATCTGAAAAAAATAAACAGAGTTATCCTTTACCTTTGACTAGGAATCACAAACGAACAAGTCTATTTATAGTGGATTCTTATACTCACCCCAGTGCTTTCGGAAGCCTCAGAAACATTATCTCTAGCCTCGGCTTGAGGAAAACGGTTTTGAACGAATTAAACTTGAGCAATTTAAAAGAACTTGTTCAGATTACAGGACGTGAAAATGTAAAAACCGATTGTTTGTCGCTATGTAGACCATAACGTCTCTCCTTACCTAAGTTTATTTCATTTACCCCTTTTCCAAATTCTAACCCATAGTCATGTGATTGCCTTTCTTCTTGTTTTCTTTTGACATGCCCATTTTCCATCTAAAAAAACTAACTGACTAAAAAACACGCCAACAGGCAGAAAAACACGACATTTTCCAATCAGGAAATTTCTATCTTTAGAGATATCTAACGAGTCTCCAAATCTCATCCGCTATCTGTTATAAAAATGAGCTAATAACTCAGGAAAGTGCGTGGTGTGAAGAAATTGTTAGGCTTTTGGTAAACAAAATCGGTTATTTTTACCAGGTTCTTCCCCGGAAACGTGAAGTACTTTCTCTGAAAAAAAAATCCATTTCGGAGAAACGTTTTCCTGAATAGTTAGAAACATTAATAGAAGCATAAAACTATGCTTTTTTGTCACACTTAGAGTTGATGATTTTCCGAAAAAGGCACTTAAAAATAAGAATATTTTTTTCAAAACGAAAACAAGAAGGAAGGAAACTCTTCAACTTGCCAGAAGTCGAGTAAATAACATGCTTTATCAGTGGCGCGCCAAGTTACTCAAACTTAAACAAGAGAAAATGACACGACAGGGACGAAAATTCCTCAGTTGTTTCCATACGCTTAAGCCATCCAAAGGTAATACAAATCGAAATTAAAGGAAGAAAATTGAATGATGAAATGTCCCTAAGGACGCTACAAAATCATGCCAAGGTTACAAATTCACTGTGTGGCCTCCGGCATAAATGAGTCTGTGGCTTCACACTGAGTTACAACTAATGTCCAAACAAGATAGCCGGAGGCTTTCTGCTGACAAGAGCTCTTGGTTTACTATTTCATGATAAAAGAGTTCATTTGTGTTCCAACATCAACTTAAAAAGTCAAAATTGTATCTTCTATCAGACGAAAATAAGTTCTCCTGTGAAAAAAGAGCGATAAATTGATTCTGGAATTCGTAACGTTCTATTCCCCGCAGTCTGCTTAAAATTTCTGGTTGCAAAATAATTGCTTCGTTCACGCACATACTAATTAATTAGATTCACCTCCTGTTTACATTTAACGTTTAAATATCTTCATCCTTTCCCAGAATTCAAGATTCAAGAAAGTCATGTTCCAATCATTTTTCCGAAGTCGAACGAACAATGGCTATTGGAACAAAGAGCTTCAGTGATTGTAAACGCTTCCAGTCAGAGGATCAGTCACCCGCCCGAAAGTAAATCTTGCACCAAAGACATAAAACGTTTATTTAGCCATGAAGTTGAGCTATTTGATGGAAACAATAAAGTGCGAGCGCAGCATGAAAACGAGTCTCGGAAGTCCGACTGTCATGACACATATGCGTGCAATACGTGTCAGAAAATGTTTTGCACACCACATGGTCTGGAGGTACACGTGCGACGATCGCACGCAGGTAATCGCCCGTACGGCTGCTCCACATGCGGAAAAACGTTCAGTCATTACGTGAGCCTTGCGCAACACAGGAAGACACATTCAACTGTCAAAATATTCGAATGCAAGACATGCGGGAAACATTTCAAGCGCTCATCCACGTTATCTACGCACATGCTGATACACGCCGATATCAGGCCTTTTTCTTGTGATTACTGCGGGAAGAGATTCCATCAGAAGTCGGACATGAAAAAGCATATGCTCGTTCACACAGGCGAGAAGCCCCATAAGTGTCGCCAGTGCGGCAAGTGCTTCAGTCAGTCCTCTAATCTCATTACTCATAGCCGTAAGCATCTGGGATTTAAACCTTTCGCTTGTCCAACATGCAGTAGAGCTTTCTATCGTAAAGTAGACTTAAGGAGGCACAGCCACGTTCATCGGCTTAGTTACCATAGAAACAATAAAACGCTAGGGGAGTTATGCTTAGATCAAACCTTACTTATTTCTAAGTCAACTAATTAGCAACTCGACATGAAAACACGTGTAAAACCATATAGTTACTGGGTCAAATCTCTAATAACAATCTCTAAATATGTTGCATTTTCCTAATTCGATCGTACCTTGGGTTACGCAAACGAGAGAGTGTCATCATTACTTCTGATAAGTTGCCTTGATTAG